CAAAAACCAGTAACGGGTCCGGTTAAAATAAAGACCCGTATGTTTCGTAACCTAGAATAGGCAGGGATGTGAATACTCGAATATGTGAATAAGGGGGTGTGTAATACGAAATATCAACTTTTGATCGTCCCAGCATAGTGATGAAATCGAGTTAGTTATGAGAAAACAAACAAAATTTACTATTCTTTTAGGATTTGTTCTTTTGTAATATATTTTAGTTTTTTTTTATCTTTATCTGCGGATATTCGAATTTTCTTTGTACTATTAAGAAAATTTTGACGACACGTTTGTACTGGCTGTGCCAGCGATCGAGAGTTTGAGTCCCGCTGGAGGCCCTCATTTGTGTAATGAGCACGAATGTTCGTGAGTGTTTATATTTACAATATGTATGTATTTATAGTTTTAGTATAAATTATAGTTATATATGTATAGTGTATCAACTATCTGGGTATCGATAGCACAAGCCTCGTAGCTTACCATGAAAACTAGATGGTGCTGTGTGTTAATATCTCAACATACATATTTATTTTATTTTGTCTTAAGGCTCTGTACTCTGAAAAAGTGTTACAAGTTTTATTTTGGACATCATAAATTAATGCATATCACAATTTGTATATGTACATGTTTTATTAATACCTACTGCCTTTAGTCGCGGTACACGCAAAATAACGGCTTCAGTAGATAGTAGGTCACTTAACATGTTCCACCACTAGTTACGCTATAGTAGTAGCAAAACTTTTGTGTATATTTTACTTTATTTCATTTTACCCTTCTTTGTATCTATTCCCAGTCGGAAACTTCAAACAAACTTCGGAGTTGTATTGATCACTCGATTAACTGTCGCCGTTTTATCTATATATGTATAGAAAACAAAGACTGGTTTTTTACAACACTTTTAACTCGAGAACAGCTGGACCGATTTTTATGATCTTTATTTTGTTGTATTTGTCTTCGCCCTGAATAGCAGAATAATAAAGCATGGGAAAAATTAACGAAAAATAATTTGAAATAAATCTATTCCATACTAAGCATCAAAACGTATCTAGGGACTTAATATAAGCACTACAAATATAAAGATTTTTGCATAAGAATTATATTTTTAATGAATAATAAAGCATCTTTATTTACCTACAAATAAATGTTTATGTACTAAGAAAATTCATCGACAGAAATATCTTGGGCAATTAAAATTAAAACGACTTGTTCCTACGAAAAAAGTTAATAGCTTTTCCAATTAAGTATCGAATCCGCGGAGAAATGCGGAAGACGATTAAGTTCTAAAGTATAAGTAAAAATAATATTCACTCAAATTGGTAGCTACGCTATTTTTTATTTTATAGATATCTCGCATTTATTAACCCCCGACGCAAACAGAGGGAAGTTAAAAGTTTAACATGTTCCTGTGTATCTATCTGTAACATCGTAGAGCCCGAACTGATGAATCAATTTTGATTAAGTTTTTTTTTTTGAAAATCGAGAGTATTCTAAGATAAAAAACAAGCAAATTCGTTAAATTTGCTGGCTATTAGCTCTTTTTGGACGGTAAAAGGACATGAACAACTTCCACTTTAATGACATTGCAGTGATATGGTAACGTTGGCCTGATGCAGCAGCGTCACCTGGAATCTGCGAGATACTAAATTCTTTACTAAAGTACTGCAGAGATGTCGTGCTAAGGCTCATTGAACGGGCCTCAATGTGTTATTGTGTTGGGAGTTTTGAAATTAGTAATCTTAAATTACTAATTTCAAAACACCCATACTCATTTTGCTTGACGACCTGGTTACAACTATCGAAATTTCTTTACTTTAAATAAAACTCTCTTTTCGGATTTTGTCGCGATATCTATACTAGGTGGGTAGATACTGTCTGTAACTCTGTACTCTGTAACAACTATATCTATACTAATATTATAAAGAGGTAAAGCTTGTGAGTCTGTGACGTTGTAGGGGATAATCTTTGAATCTACGGAATCGATTTAAACGAAATTTGGTAAGAAGATAGTTTGAGACCCTGGGAAGGGCATAGGATTTTTATCCCAGAAATCCTCCCGTAACGGGATGAAAATGAGGATGAAAGTTTTATTGGGAAGCAACCTAGGGACGAACCTGAGCGAAGCGAGGGTGAGTCGCTAGTATGTAATAACTTTTAAGATCTCTAAAACCTTTGTCTCTCCCGTGACTGTATTTACTGTTATAAAGCAACCGCGACAAAATCTGAAAATTCTTAGATTTTTATTTAATTCTTAGATTTACGCGAATATTCGGCATACAAATACTTTTTATATTACTTTTAGTAAAAAATTTAAATAAATACATATATTATCCCTTAAGTAAAACGTAAATATTTTATCTATATTTAAATAATTTTTGATATTAAAAACTAATAAAGTAGCGTGTTAACGCTACATAAATATATCGTCTTTCACAGTAAACTTGAGCCGACCCAGGATTCAAGCCCAGTACCTCCGGATGTGCAGCCTTACATGCTAGCCACTACAACACCGAGGCAGTCAGTTAAACGTAATATATTCATCCTATCGATAATCTTCTTTGAATTAACCAATATTTTTATAAATAGCGTATTAAAACCAGTTCATCACAAAAAACTTCCAAAACATGTTTATAGCTCCCCTTTTATGCGTCACAGGCTAAAAATATAGTCTGGCAGCTAAAGTTGATATAAATAGTTAATTTTCTTGCAATTTTTCTTCGTGGTGGAAGATTTTGGTACAAAATGCTTAAATTTATATAAACAAGCCTCTATTAATTTCTATTATAAAAAAAGGAGAGCTAATAGGATTTGGTCCGAGAAAAATTAATACATCGTCTGGGGAGCTCGACCGCCTTCATTAAGAGTAAAAGCCTTTTAAAATTTTCCTTCAAACTTGACATAATTCCTAGGAAAAACGATCGAAGTGGTTCAGTAGAACATGTGGTGACTTTTCATAAGTCTTACTTACAGTAATTTTTATTATTAATCATACAATTGTCCTGGTTTCATCAGTCAGTCGTTGGCTATCATGCCATAAATGTGAAATTGCTTTTTAGGGTTCCATACCCGAAGAGTGCCAACGGAACACTATTAATATGCCTCCGCTGTCCATCCGTCTGTTCGTCTGTCTGCAATTTTCACAGAGTATGTATATCTATTGCCGCTATAACAACAAATAATAAAAATTAATAAAAAAAACATACATACATAGAGTAAACGTCATATTAATAAAAATTACATGTACGATGGTACGGATTCCTGCGTGTGTGAATTCAACTCGCACTTGACCGATTTTTCGATTTGATAATAACTAAATCTCTCAGTCCTAGTCTTTTGTCAAATTAATGAATTTGCTTCATACTTTTCGACATACACATATTTTTTGAGAGAGATAATGATGAGGCTACTCATTATCCCGTTATTCTAAGTAGTTCCGTGGAATAAAAGGATATGGAAAGAATCTAAACTCTAAACCCGCGTTCAGATGAGAAAAAACCAAATTATTTGGTTTTACATATTAGTATACTCTTACATTGCAGTTTTTGCATTTTTTCTCAGAAATGAGATATTTTCCCGCGGTAAAAAGTATCCTATATGATGACCCGGTTAACCAGCTATCACCATACCAAATTTCATCAAAATCCCTCCAGTGGTTTTTCTGTGATGCGGGAACAGGCAGACAGACAAATAAAAATTCTAAAAACTATAGATTCGGCCTCTGTATCATAAAAAATATTTAATGTACAGATTCGGCTTAGTTACAATTTTATTATATGTATAGATATAATAAAATTATATAGTCATCTTAAAGGCAATTATTAGTCCTCAATAAATGATAAATCTCCCTTGGGTATTAAATTTCACGTCAAATTGAAGTAAGTATCTTATTTAGAAGAGTGAAGACGAAAAAAAAGTTATATTATTATATAATTTTCTCTCTGTCTCGTGAGAAAATAGTATAAAAAATTATTAATAATTTAATAATTTACTTGAATTAGATCATAGTTTGACTATTATAGTAAGAAAGTGTTAATAGATCCACCTTATATTATTTATTTATTGCGGTTAAAAGTTTTGGAAATTAAATAAATAGCTCACGTCATGAAATATTATGTTTTATCACAGTCTAAAGTATAGGCCAAACTAGATTGTTCTGGGCTAATCTAGTATATCCTGACATACTTAGGATGACTCGATTTGGCCTAAAATAAACTAGTTGGGCCTGAAATCTGGTTTGGCCAGTAACATATATGTATATTCAAAAGCCTGCTTGCATTAATGAGTTTTACAATATATACTTCTACATAGCTATTTTATGATTGTACAATTACGATACGTACTAAATGACAAAGAACGCGCCATGCTATTTCATGTTCTTGTCAAGTATATAAGTGTAGCCGCCTTGAGTGTAGTCAGAGACATTTACCAATAAGCTCGTACATTCTCCGACATGATTCTGCTCAATGCACATTGCTCAAATATAAGTACCTTTGTGAAAGTCGAGTCTGACTTTCGGGTTTGGAAGTAAAATAGATACCTAAGCTATTAGCCAGATAGATAAAAAGTTAACTTTCATTTGTACTTTTTATATGAAAATAAAATCTGTTGTGATCTTTTCAAAATAGTCTCCATTGATATTCACATCTGATATAATCTATACATATAATAAAATTCTGAGTTGAATCTGTACATTAAATATTTTTTGGAAAATCTTATTGAGATAAACATTATTATCGATACATAAGCGAATCTATAGTTTTTAGAATTTTTGTCTGTCTGTGGAAAAATATCTCATCGCTGAGAAAACTATAATAAAAGTTAAAACATAAGTAGCGACGAAGCTGAGCGGAGTAAAGGTGAGTCACTAGTAAGTATCTAAAAGTGTATGGAAATAATATATCATAACGATATATATTTTTTTAAATGGACAGGATCTGAGTTAAATTTAAAAAAAAACTGAAAAATTGAAAATAAATATTTAATATTTGTTATCATTCTATTATTTATAATGGTAAAGCGGTAACAGATCTGATCCAACCTCGAACTTTTGGTACATTTGCGTACACTCCGGGATGGTTTGGTAGAGCGCACTCCAAACCGTATGACACCAGTCCTAGTAGCTTACCTTGGTACACCACTGGACCTCCAGAATCACCCTGCAAAATGGATTAAATTCACTGAAACTAATTTCTATCCGTATCCTGCCTTCAATTTTTAATTAACCTACTGGCGGATAGACGAAATCGTACCTACATACTTAGATACATAATATGTTTGTTTAGAAGAAACAGAAGTTAACACTTGCATGACGTGGAAATTCGATGTAAATTCATTCAACCAATCCTGATATTAGCGTACAAACTGACAAAATCTTTTCTAATAATTATTTAAGTTGTAGCTTTAACAGATACACGTAAAGCTAGAAGAAGGTGGAATATATGTTATTATGTATATGTATATAATAAAAACTTTACCTGACATGAGTCTTTAGTACCATTAGCGTATCCTGCACAAAACATTCTCGACGTAATGTTGTCGTAACTGCCGTCCGTCATTTCTTTACACTTTTCTTCATTAATTATTGGCACATGCACACGTCGAAGGATATCTTGCATTTTGTTTGCCTAAAATAGAAAAAAAGTTGGAGATTACTTAGAACATTTAACAAAAAATTGAAAAATACACGAATCAAATCTTGACAAACTCAACGGTAAGACTAATGAACATTTCAGTACAAACACTTACAAGTTCCATTCTCTACCTCCAGGCTACATTAATAGATCAACTCTATGGTACCAAATTATTATATTTTCATCCAAACTACGTATTATTATATAGATTTCAATCCAGACCGTAATTAAATGAAGTAGAAATAGAATACATATAAAACCTCACTTTAAACTTCAGATATCCCCATCCAGTGACAGAGACCATGTTCCCATCTTTAATGTCATTAACAGATCCTATCGCTATTGGTCGACTTGCAGAAGTATCTGGTATCGGTTTTTCTAGGAGTAAAAGCTGATAGTCGTAGTCATGGGATTGTTGATTTGAAGTTTCCCAATAGGGGTGTATGAAGTGGGCACAGATGGGATATTCTTTTGCTTCACTTCGCGAAGTAGATCCTGCGTATACGTTTTCAGCCTTGGTCCTTATAAGGAAAAAAAATATAGTAATATTATCAATTTATTAGTGTTCTAGCGACTCACTGTCGCTTCGCTCAGGTTTGTCCATAGGTACTTTTAACTGTCAGTATCGAATAGATAGACTATATATAAGTATATACATAGGTATGATGAGTTTTATATCCTTTACTTGAACATGATTCAGACTTTGTATAAACTTTCATCCCTCTTTTCACCCCCATAAGGGATGATTTCCGGGATAAAACTCCTATGACCTTCCCAGGGTCTCAAATTATCTTCATACCAAATTTAATCTCAATCAGTTTCAGTGGATTTTTAGTTTATCACAATTTTATAAACAAACTCAAAAACTTACTAACTTTACTTCTTTATAATATAAGTGTACACGACAACTTATTATAATATTATAATATTCCATGGAAGCTATTTTCTGTGTATGAAATGCATACTATGATACCATGCCAGGCTATATGTATATGTACATACATATATATGTTCCTATACAATTAAGTCAATACGTTGCTACATTGAAAGAAAAAAGACAAACAAACCAACTAACACATTTATAGTTTTAAATAAATAAGGTTAATAAAATACATAAAAACTTTTTAACAAAAAAATAAAAACCGACTTCAAACAAGCACACCGACTTCGAAAATATTTGATTAGGTATGTATAGTAAATGAAAACTACCAATCAGTTATTTTGATTTACTATATGGAAACATTTCCATTTTAAAAAAAACCTTAATATACGTGCAATATTTTTAGTATTTGTAAAGAATTTTACTCATAAACTTATTGCATAAAAGAAATAAATATGCTGGGATATTAACACCCAACACCATTTAGTTCCATGCTAAGCTACGAGGCATGTGTTATGGATACCAAATAGTTGATACATTACACATATTATATAACTTTAAATACATTAGATATATAGAAACACCTATGACTGGAGTACAAACATTAGTGCTCATCACACAAACCCCAGCGGGACTCGAATCCGCGACCGCTGACACATTAAGTAAGGTGACACAAACTGAGCCAAACGTGTCGTCAAACATGCATTACTGCAAATGTCCTTTTCTTTTCTTCGAAGTAAGCGTTTCAGAAAATGTCATTAAACTATTAGTTAAACTAACGCCAACCGACTATTCATCTATACAGATACATAAAATTGAAGTGTCTGTGTGTAATGTCAAAATGCTTTTTACTATATGCATATGAAAGTATATACGGTATTATAAGAAAGAAACATATTCTTAATTTTCTGTCTGTCTGTTTGTTTCGGCTAATCTCTGGAACGGCTGACCGATTTTGACGGTACTTTCACTGGCAGATAGCAAATGCTATAAGGAGTGACTTAGGCAACTTTTTTTTAAAGAATTAGGGTTCCGCGAAAAAAATGCCATAAAATTGTGAACAAAATCCGCGTAGCTAGGGACGCAGCCGAGCGAAGCCAGGGTAAGTTGCTAGTTGTTTAATAAACATCAATTACGAACACGAGAAGTATATATACAAAAGCCAACATTACAAACTTTGCGAAGTCGCAAGTATGACAGTGATCAATCGTGACCAATGTTTCATCGTTAGCCGTTAATTAGGACAGTAATAACTGATTACTAGGGCTAATTAAATAGCTTTGCGTTGGGGTCGTGGGATCGGTTCCCGCTCGTTACATATTTGCAGGATTAGTGGTAAAGGATTATATTAATCAAGCGGATCACTGACGTAATGTTTGTCGTTTGTTGTACCTATTAAATAATTTACATGTTCATTTCATTGGTCTATGAAAATTGGTCTATAAATGTAATATTTTATGATAATAATGTGAAATTTATATATCTGAAGATAGTTTATGAATAAGAGAGCACCTAACATAAGTTTTTAATATATTTCAAGAAACAGTTCCTAAAGTTCCCACATTGCAATTAAATAATCTAATATATATCCCGTGTCACTGTGATTGTGGTCGCACTCCACCAAAACGGCTCGACCGATTTTTATGTTTTTTTTTTGTATATTTGGTAGGTATGAGAATAGGTCGTAAAGTATTGTTACTCTCCTACTCCCAACCCCCAATTTTTTAAGTAACTAGGAGCGAACCCGAGCGGAGCGATTGTGAATCGCTATAACATATATAACTATTTAATTGCAAAACTAACATCAGTGTATAATACTAAATATAATATACATAATAAGAAAATGTGCGTGAAAACTGAGAAGTTTCTATCTAAAAAATATAATAATAGGTATAGACTAGTGTGGCAGTGACAAATTTTAAAATTTAAACAAAGCATTTGAGGAAATGTTTCTGCCTTTTCGTCTCACAACATAAATTTAAACAATTAGTATAATACAAATTATGTAGAATTAACATTAAGCCTTTTCTGCTGGGGAAACTTATCAAGGCAACCATGCCGACGTCAACGGTAAATTTACTGTTAAAATTAAACCTGCGAACATCATATTAAGATGTGATCATCTAGAATCTCTTGCTATTCAGCACCAAGAAATAATAAGCGAACAAACTTTTATAATTATAATGATATTACTATAACAACTGTGAGTTATCATCTCGACAAAATAAATATAATGTATGAGTAATATATCATCAGTCTTGTCATCCAGACGTTACACGATCTATAATAGACGCACTAATGATTATATTTATGCTTTCATATGTATATAAACAAAAATAATTACTTTATTATGTACTAGAATTGACCGCGCCTCCGCTCACGTTCAGATGACCAAAAACCAAATTCTTAGGTTTTACATATTAGTATACTCTTACATTGCAGTTTTTGTATTTTTTCTCAGAAATGAGATATTTTCCCGAAGTAAAAAGTTGTCGAACTGCAGAACCAGCTATCACCATACCAAATTTCATCAAAATCCCTTCAGTGGTTTTTCTGTGATGTGGTAACAGACAGATAGACATATAGACAAGAATTCTAAAAACTATAAATTCGGTCTCTGTAGCGATAATAATGTTTGTTTCAATAAGATTTTCCAAAAAATATTTAATGTACAGATTCGGCTTAGTTAAAATTTTATTATATGTATAGAATTGACTCATATAAACCCAATAATCATAATTTACAAGATATATAAGACGGAACAATCATTAAAATAGTCTATTTGTTTTTACACAGTAATGTCCGGTAAGACTAAGCCCATTTTAATGAGTTTCACTGATTAATGAGATTAGAGTATTAGATAATTAAGAGAAAAGAAGTACAACTATTGATTAAGGAAAATGGAGTGGCTTATAAAAGTCTATGGTTTAAAATAAGAGGTTTTTGAACGTCGAAACATGTATAAAGTTAACAAAAGAAAAAAATCACAATTCAAAAAATAAATTTTCAAAAAAACCTCTTAGTTAAGGAAAATAGTGTTCTTTTTTTGATGAAATTTCCATAATTTTATTGAAGTTCAAAAAAAATAACGCATTACGCAATAGTTTGTAGAGCTTATTCATAGATGGCGCTGTTTACATTTTACAACTTGAGTCGGTTAAAAACGGTCAATGTCACTTATATTTTAATAAACGAAAAATTAATTTGGCTATATTTTACGTATTTTAATACATGTTGTACAATGTACATGTCTTCTTAAAAAAAAACTCGCCGGTTGCAAATCAACGCCATCTACCGATTCAAGCAAAAAATCTCCCGAATTAAGGCTATTCAATCTATTTGTATTGGACAGCTGGACTAGTACAGTTTACTCCCATCTGTGATATTACTTACTTACAGTGAGCTGCGGTTAGAACCCAGTCGGGAGCGATGAGGGTGCCGCCGCAGTATTTACCATACAACACCTGGTAAGGCGCTTCCTGGATAGTTATCCTCTTACCACCTACTATCCTCCAACGAAACTATAAAAAAATATAATTAAAACTTGTTCCTGTCCGCCGCTTCTCTCGTGTGGTAGATAGGGCGGGGGATCAAAGCTAGCCACGTCAATCTATGTCTTTGCCAAATTTCATCGAAATCTGTTCAGTACTTTAAGCATGAAAGGATAACAAACAGAGTTACATTTACAATTTTATAATATTAGTATCCTGGATACTTGACTTAAAAAAGGTATAGGTAGATTTTTTTATAAATGTAAAATACATAATTATAATATGGAGTTATGTAAACCAAGGACATACATACACTTAGTAATCATTGAAAAAAGTATAAACCGGAACTTTCAATTGAAGACAGTAGAAAAGCACTTTTATATTTTATCTTCTCAGTGTCAAAGAAAAGGAAGAATAGAGAAGATAAGTATAGGTAAGATTCTAAGCTGTTCACGTGGCTTCGTTGATTTTACAGATAGGCATCGCTCTCTTTCTAACATACACCAATCTCAATTTACTGTCCTTGTATTACAAACATATAAATAAAATTGAAGTGTCTGTTTGTAATGTCGAAATGTTAGCTCTTTAATAAATACATCTTTATACGGTACTTATAAGAAAAAATACATTTTTTTTAATTTTTGTCTGTCTGTCTGCGAACTTGTGGTGCAAAGCGAAATTTCACTGGCAGATAGCTGATGATATAAAGAGTAACCTAGGCTACTTTTATTTTAGAAAAAGAATTAGGGTTCCGCTCAAAAATATGGAAACGTACTTAGGGACACACCCAGGCGAAGCGAGGGTAAGTCGCTAGTCCTAAATATTATACTATTTCTATACTAGATACGACACAGCAATACTTACATCTTCGTCCACTTCTTCTAGTTGCGGGTTTCCAGCGAGATACTCGTGGTAATAATGGAAGTCCCTCGGCGGTACATTGCGAGTTAGCACTATCCTGTTGTACTGTAGTATACACGCAGGCGATAAGAGGCCTTTGGGTATTTTATCTAAAATTATATTTTATATGCATTCAGCCCTTTTTAACGTGTCACTTCTGGATACGGGCCTCCCTTGAAAGAGCAGGCGGACTGCACATGGCTTTCGAAAGCTTGCTACGTTCTCTCAGACCTGTAGGAATCTTTACGATGTTTTCCTTCACCGTAAGATAAGTGGTAATCATGTTGAAAATTAATCACATATAGAAATATCAGAGATGCGGGACACGGGATTTGAACCGGCTTCACTTGGTTTCCGCGAGAACGTTACCACTCGGTTACCACTGCCTCCTATATTTGTTATTTTTAAATTTTTTTTAGGCAAACATATTACAATGCATACAATTTAAAAAAAACACATTTACTGTATATGAATAAACAAGGCAGTGGTGATCCACTCGCTTGGGAAACCGAGTGAAGCGAGTTCAAGTCCCGAGTCCCGCACTTCTGATATTTTCATGTGCGAATTATTTTCCAAGATAATTACCACTTGCCTTACAGTTTACTGTAACTTTAGGAAAACGTGAGAAAATCTGCATGTCTGAGAGAATTAAAAATGGACTGTCAGATACGAATCATACTTTAAGGGTTCCATGATTTAATTTTCAGATAAAAAAGATGTCTAAGTAACCCTCATCCAAATTATCTATTCTTTAGTGAAAATTCTTTATTATCAGCCATTCCATAAGCGATAGAGAAATAGTAAAGTCTTCTAATGGTCATAATAACAGGCTTTGGTGTTGCGGAAAAAACAGCAAACTCTCAATATGGGGAAGCTATTATAAAAGCACATACAGATATTTAAATTTCGTCCACACAATATTTTCCTTCACCGTAAAACAATTGATAATCATGTTGTGAATGAGTCACACATGATAATATCAGAACCCAGGGGTGCGAAACCCGGGATTTTAACCCCTCTTCACTCGGTTTTCCAAGCGATCGCGTTACCGCTGTATTTTTACCTTACTAATAATATATTAAAGCCCACTTAGTTAGTATTTATTAAAACTCTGTTAATTCAATAGAATAAAAGGATTTCACTTTAGAAAGTGAATTTTAGATTTTGGCAGACTCATCGCATTCGATAAAATACCCTCATTGACCTGAAAACTAAAAATGCACGTAAGCTTCAGTTCAACGAAAGTTTTTAATAATGTATATCTATGCTTAGGTATTAACCTGCGTGTTTGGGAGAATCTAGCAAGTTTTCGAAAAACGTGAATTCTGCCACTACGCTTAGCCAGCGTGGTGGACTAAGGCCTGATCCCCCTCGCATTGGAGGTTCGTGCCTAGCAATGTGATGGAAAAAAGGCTGTCTGCAATACATACAAAGTAACAATATTTTAACCCTGTCTAGGTCTACCGAAACCGTTGGAGCAACCCCTTGGTTATTGTGGTCTACAATAACCAAGGAGTTGCTCCAACGGTCCACACTGCTATCAGAGAAGTACCAGAAGCAACCTGTATGGAACACCGCCCACCGAAGAGGGTCACCTCTATCTCGTGGCTTCACACCTGGCTGGATTGCCGGACGCTAATTAGGTGAGAAACGTAAAATAATATCTAGTACCTAATACGTATTAAGAGGGGAAGGGTAGTAAAAATGAATGGAAAGAGCATAGTAAGGAGCCTGACGCACACTCAAACTATACAGCACTATGGATTTTGATATCAGGCAGCAAACGGATAACAGCTTTTATTCTATATTTTATATTTATTTATGTATATCACAATATTTAACAAAAGATTCCCTAAATATTATTTTGAAGCAAAACCACAGGCTCTAATTCGTATTGAATACGCTCGCGGGTATCGGATACAAAGTTACAGTTGCAACACTCGTAAGCTCAAATGTTTTAAATTTGCAAAATCTAGTTTACATTCCAAGCCATTTTATTTACAGAAATGTTCGCTTAGAAAATATAGTTTGAAATAAAATAATGAAATACATTGGAATTGTTCAATCCAATTAATTTAGTTACAACTTGACTTTGGTCATTCAAATATCAACATATTTTTGGTCTGCAAAAATTGTCCAAATCTATCCATACGAATATTGTTTATGTTAAAGAACTTCTTTCTTTATGTCTATTCCATTTTCATGCGTAAGCCGTTGAACAGATATTGGTGAGATTTGACAAGGACGTAGATTGCATCCGTAATTCTTTCTTAGATTTACGTCAGGAACCGAAAATGAAAATAAATCCGCGAAGTAATCCGAAAAGATTGCATCCAGTTAGTGAACCAATATTAAGTTCAGATTACTATTTGCATGGAACTTTCAAATAAAATTAAAAAATTAAAACGGTATTGTAGGTTTGTTTATCACCTAATCTCGAAAACAGCTAACCCAATTTTGAAATTATTTTTTTGGCACATCGAAGATTAAGGAACGTAGGGTAAACCAAGGGTATATTGTGGACAAATATTTCAGCTCGCTTAAGCCTGACTTTTACTGTTGGATGAAGGATTCAAATATATCCATAAATTTAATTGATGGTTTTCATTTTAAATTTAGGTTATTTTTTACATTTTAGTGCCTGGAAGTCGGTTTGTTTTAAGTTTTTTAATTTGAAAATATATGTGCAATAAAAAGTACAATGAACAAACTAATTATGCCGCATTGCTTCGATAAAATGTAAAAACTGATGTTAACAAATTAATTATATATTAAAAAACTTAATACGTATATTAGTAGTATAGTAAATTTCATCAAATTATAATTATATATTTATTATAATTTTTAAAATTATATAAATGTCACTTTAGAACATAAAACTTCATTCATTGTTCGCATAGTTCTCTGTGATTCAATATTTACTTGTAATAATGTCTAAAAATAATGAGCATAACATTATTATTTATTTAAGCTTTAGTTTCATTATTAACGTTTATTATTAACTAGCGTTTTCACGGCTCCGTCCGCGCCTTTTTATTTTGTAGGATTAATTAATAATTATAATTAATCAAATCAACAAACAAACAAACACATTTACTTATAAAGTACTAATATTATAAAATTGAATATTTGTACGCTATTTTAAAACTTAAGAATAATAATACTTAAAAGTAGATATTTTCATTCTCCTAATTAAAAACAATGAAAAATAAACTAATTAAAAAACTGGACACAATTTTCATGATATTTAATGCATCAACGACCGCGGGCAAAACGGTGTTACAGTTAACAATGAATTTCTTAGAAATTAAATTAATTTATCAGAAATTTACCTGGAGGAGTTTAAAATTAAAAAAAAAATTGGGATAAACCTCTGGTAACCCCTAACGACCCACATATGTCCTGTACGTGTTTTTGTGTACCTATACACAGAAATCCATAAGCATGTACATCGTTACATTTAAGCTGACATTTTCGACTTCATATATGAATCTAAGACACTCCGTCTGTCTTATTCTTTTAATCTGCAGGCTTAATACATGAAAAATCACAATTAATCTAGACAAGAGACATTCTAAAGTCTCAGCTAATACGTACAAGATGTAAACAACCAACTATCTACTGATGCATCTTATCCTTAAAAGAAAATTAAGAAAAAGATAGGATAAATAACACAAATCTCACCAGCATCTTCCAATGATACAACCCACAATCCATGCAAAATCATTACAACCACTAGAGTGATGTTATACATGACTTCATGGGTTCGTAAACATAAAACGATCTCGAAACTAAACACTGATGTACTACTAATGTACACAAGTCTGTCTAATCGTATTTCCACGGTCTTAATAAAAACTCAATTCCACGGTTTTGATAAGAAACCTCATTTCTTTGTAATATTATCTTATTTTAAAATATATAATGCTAGCGACTCACCTTGCTTCGCTCGGGCTATCCCTAGGTACGTTTCAACGGTTAGAATGGAATAGACATACTATATATTATATATAGATGTATAGTATAGTAGCCACTTACCATTTTAATATTAAAAAAGTATGGCTGTAGTGATGTAGTTGAAGATAAAAGTTATATAAACAATCATATTATGATATATACTAGATATATACTATATATACTAGACACACACACACACACACATATATATATATATATATATATATATAGATATTATATATATATATATATTATATATCAACACTTATAATAAGATCGTAGAGATGTCTGTCCAGTAAATACTGCTAACTCTGATATAATTTACTCTCAATTTTTTACTTTAATTAAAGCACCTCCGTTTGGGGACTAAGATGTCATATAAATGCAGCTTGCAGCTTCCGCTTTAGCTTTATATATTTATATATTTTAGAGTGTTTGTAATTTTACACATTTTTTATTTAGTATCAATCAGAAACAACGTCAGTTTCGTGCTTATTTGTTCAAACGACCAATACTTTAATAAATGACCAAAGTACAACATTTTACAGTAGAGAGTATTTTTTTTTTCAATTTTAAATACAATGAAGCTTTGTTTCTTCCTTTGTTTTTATGATTTATATAGATTTTAATATAACGTTTATTATAGATTTCTCAGAGATACGATATTTTCCCGCAGTAAGAAGTATCTAAGGTATTTAATATATATGTTGATCATCATACCAATTTTTTCAAAATCCTTCCAGTGGTTTTTCCGTGATGCGGTTACAGACAAACAGACAGACAGACAAAATTTCTTAAAACTATTCGGCTTCTCTATCGATAATGATGTCTATTTCAATAAGATATTCCAAAAAATATTGATGTACAGATTCGGCTTAGTTACAATTTTATTATATGTATAGATAAAGTACGTTTTTTCGGCTTCTTTAAAGTAGTGTGTATTTTTTACCAATAGAATTGACATTTAAAAGTCAATATTTTTGTATTAAAAATTCTTTCGATAAATTGGTCATTTGGAGAAATTAGCACTAAAAAAACGATAATTAGATTCTATATAATACATTATGCAGACTATTAAAACATAAATTAAGTGTAAACTTTGAAATTTAGCTTATTTTCCATACTTATGATTACATCTTATCGCTTCACGTGTAAAATCGTTTAATTCGCATTTGACTTGTCTCGTGAAGACGATAATCAGAGCTGTAGTTTATAAATAATTTATGTAATTTAATTTAAATGGCTTTTAAAAAAAGTGTGACATTCTTAAAATATGATTTTTTAAATCCACTTCAAAAAAAGGAGGTTATCAATTCGATACGTATTATTGTTCAGATTTAAATAAATCTTCATCATTAACGTTCATCATCATTAGTTCTAGCACGAACCATTTAAAAATTTATACATACACGCAGCGAAGGAAAACATCATGAAAAACCCTGTATTTCTGAGGGAATATTTGGCAAGTTTTCGAAAAACACGTGAAGTCTGCCAATCCGTACTTGACCAGACTACGGTTTGATTGCCCTCGTATTCAAAAGACACTTATAACCAGTGGTGGGATGTTAAAAAGGGCTGAATATACATAAACATACATATTTAACTTAAAATCCGAAAATATAGGATATTTACATAAATCTAAAAAAAAGTATTATGTTGATCTACATAAGTAAAAAGTAGAAAATTCAAGTTGTTACTTAAAATTTACGGAAAATTGAGCTAATTGATTAAACAAATAATTGCTTATTATTATAAACACGAGATCATTTCATAAACCACTATAACATAAAAGGCAAACAATATTTTACAACACGAAAATGTCACAAGTTTCATCCAAAAACACTTTCCGTTATAATGAAAAAGGGGTTTATAGCGTACTATCAGTTATATACTGATAAGGGCGATTTGTTCGAACCCTCGTAAACTGGAAAGGTTTTCAATAAAACCAAAAACTAAAAGTATTATGCTAATATGGAGCCATTTTCATTGGTTCTGGCGATAGATGGGGTGTGCATATATGCTCAGACGACGTTTATTTTTTGTTTATATTTTATACTAGCGACTCACCCTCGTTCCGTTCGGGTTCGTCTCTACTTACGTTTTAACGTGTTATATAGATTTCTCAAAGATGAGTTATTTTCCCGCAGTAAAAAGTATTCTATATGTTGACCCGGATAACCAGCTATCATATCAAATTTCATCAAAATCCCTCCAGTGGTTTTTTCGTGATGCGGTCACAAACAGACAGACAGACAAAAATCTAAGAACTATAGATTCGGCGCGGGAACGGTAATAATGACTATTTCAATAAGATTTTATTTAAAAAATATTTAATGTACAGATTCAACTCAGTTACATATTTAGTATATGTATAGTCATTAGGCAGTGGTAGCCCAGTGGTAACGCGCTCGCTTGGGAAACCGAGTGAAGCAGGTTCAAATCCGAGGTCTCACAACTCTGATATTTTCTTGTACGAATCATTTCTAACATGATTACCACTTGCCTAACGGTGAAGGAAAACATCGTGAGGAAACCTGCATGTCTGAGAGAACCTAGCAAGTTTTCGAAAGACATGTGAATTCCGCCAACCCGCACTTGCCCAGCGTGGTGGACTATGGCCCGATCACCCTCATATTGAAGGGAGGCCCACCCCCCGCAGTGGGACGTTAAAAAGGGCTGAATATATTCATTTTAATAGACTATTTTTATCACTTATTTATGTTCCTAAAAATAACCCACGTAACTTAGGTATACCTGAATGTTTCAAACATTTCCATAGAGCTTTTTATTAGTGAGGCTTAGATATGATGTCATTCTAAAATCGTTAAAGAATAGATGATCAGATTTAAATGATCTATGACGGCACGTTTGGCTCAGTTTGTAGTGACACTACTTGCTGTGCCAGCGGTTGTGGGTTCGAGTCCCGCTGGGGGGATTCATTTGTGCAAAGAGCGCAAATATTTGGACTCTAGTCATGGGTGTTTATATTTATAATATTTATGTATTTAAAGTTATTTAATTGTGTAATATATGAACTATCTGGTATCCATAACACAAGCCTCGTAACTTACAATGGAACTAGATGGTGCTGTGTGTTAATGTCTCAACATATTTATTTATTTATCTATAAAAATACATTTGTAGGACTGACATGTTTGGACTTTATCACATCGAAATTGAATATTGAAATTTCTATTTTTAAATTATCATAGAAGCGTTTATTAAATTATCAAAGCATCAGTGATAGATTTACGATCGGTTCAATACTTTCAGAGATTTTCAAACGAAACAAACATATCAAATAGCTGTTTGTAATAAACGTAGGATTATCCAGTATTTTACTTTTCGCTCGTATTACAAAGCACGACACTGTTCGCTCCAGTACAGTTAAGCTCGCAGATACAATGTCAGTTGTCAGTACATGAAGACGTACCTTACTGATACTAAATTACTTTTTAAATAAAAAGTTATACTGCTTTTAATACATTATTTACTAGCGAGGGTGAGTAATCTCGCTTCTCTCGGGTTCGTCCCTAGCTTGATTCCACATACAAACTTTCATCTCCATTTTCACATCCTTAAGGGACGATTTGCGAGATAAAAAGTATCCTATGTCCTTTCCAGGATCTCAAACCTCCTATAACCTCACAAACTCACAAACTTTACCTCTTTATAATATTATATTAGTATAAATAAGAATACACTTTAGAATAATTAATACATATTCTGTATATTTTTAAATAAAAAAATATAACAAAACTTTACTTAGTTTGTCCTTCTTTCACGTCGAAACAGACTGACGAAGTAACGTGATTTTTGTGTGAAGATAGTTGGAGGGCTGAAGTGTAACATAGGCTACCTTTTACCGCGGGAGATTATCTTATTTCCACGGGAAAACACGTTATAATACAACCAACAACACCTATATTTACGCCATACTAACCACTAAAAACACTTAAGCACCCGAACGAAGTGAGAGTATGTCTCTAGTTATAAAACAAATGCACACAATTATCACTGTATAAGTCATGTCCGCGTAGAATTGTGGCAAGAATGCTTCTAGCATAGCATTTTTCCCGTATCGTAATGCCACATAAAGCCTTTTTTTGTCTTTAACAAGTGTTTAGTTCTTCGAACCCTTAATTATTGCACCTTTAAAAGTAGATTTTTATTAAAATTCAAATACTTCTATTAAAAATGCAAAATATGTTTGTTGCTCTACTAACTTTTATAAAGCAAAAAGTTTTATTTTCTTCTTCATGCTGAAACGGCTGGACCGATTTGGGTGAAATTTACTACTTAGATAGATCATGATCTGGAGTTATATAAGCTATTTGTGAGGTTCCCGAGCGAAAAGAGGGTAAGTCCTAGCGACTTCGAAAATAAAATCTGTAACCACATACAGAAACGACGTGATTGAAACTTGAAGCCCAACGGTAAAGTAAAATAATACGAAACAATTCTACTAGCGAGCCTATTAAAATGAAATATAATAACGTTTCCAAACAAAAGGATCCGCAAAAGCTTTCATCACAATGACATCGCCTTAAATCCCTTCGCTTACTTAGTATTTTATTGGAGTTCCACAGAAAAATGGTATAAATGGATAAAATATTTTTAAGGAGCTCAAGTTTCGTATATTTTTACAAGTTTTTATCTACCTTCATCTGTGTATATATTATTTATTTTATTCAGTTTACCAAACTTAGTAGATGTGATTCAAAAGAAATCTCCAACGTAAATAAATAAAACTATATTTTAATGGCAGAT